CCTGAAGTCACAAGACAGTTGCTCAATATCAAAAGATGAACAGGAAGCAGAGGAGAGCACGGAAACCTGGAATCCACAGAGAACCATCTAGAACACACGTGGATCTATCACCAAAAGTCACATAGGCCTTTTCCTGTCTCTGAGACTCCACCCTCATTGCTGTGTATGTTCTAAACAGAAGCCGGTATTCTTTCTGTAGAGCCACACCCTCTCCTCTACGAGGACCTGTGAGGTGGAAGGAAGTGATCTGCAGGGACCGCAGCTCTGGGCCAAGTCCATACATCAAGCCAGCAGGTATGTGAAAACGTGTATGAGCTGCTGCGAAGTCTGACTGGTGTGGATCTTCCAAGAATACACACATCTCCAGCTCCACTTTCAGCTTCCAAATCTTGAACGAGTTGCTTTTTAGGGCCTGTCTTAACCAGGAGCGTACAGAAAAGGAATTCTGGGAAATGTAGTTTCACTTCGCCAAGTTGACGTATTACAAAGCCACCAAGTGGGAAAATAAAAGCTTATTGCTGTATGCCACTAAGATTTGGAGGTTGATTTTTCCTATGGCAGAACTGTTATAAATTGGCTAGCTTCCAACTCCTTCCAAATTATAAGCCTGTCCAGGCTTTTGCCCATATACTTCCTTCTGGCCCTTCTGAGCTATGTGTGGCATAAAACTCAGCCAGACTTAGATGATAAAAAATTAAATCTTACTCGCATATTATTAAGTGCCTACTATGCTAATCATAGAAACCATAATAGCAAACTAGAAAAGCATTCTTCTTCTTCTCTGAGAACTCACAGTGTAGCAAGAGGAACCAACATGGACAGAAACTTGGCTCATTAATTGCAATTGTGATGTATGCTCTGAAGGGGAAGGGCAGGCAGCTATGGGATCCATAACCTGGTCTAGGAGGGTCAGAGAGGCTGCTCAAAAAAAAGCTCTTTCAGAAAGAGATGGGAGATGAAGAAAATAGCACATTCCAAGGGACTAAGGTAGAGCAAAGCTAAGAGAAGCTGAAAGGAAGCCAGTACGGCTGAATTCTAAAAGAAAGATGGGGCCTATTGAGGGAACGATGAGGCTGAAAAATAGGTCCAGGCCCTATCCGGCCTGGCAGGCCATGAAGATGATTTTGAACTTGACAGGGGAGAGGAGCAAGGGCAAGCACTGGTGGATTTAATTAGGGAAGTGACATAATAAGATTTTCTATTGGAAAGGTCATTCTGGCCATGGCTTGGGGAATGTATTAGAGGGAGACCAAGTGACCTGGGCATGTTGGCACAGAATTCTAGGCAACAGAAGGACGTAGTTGGACTCCCAGAAAAGACAGTGAAGGTGGAGACTTAGATGATAAGTGCAAGAGCTGCATGGATAGGAGTCACGATTTCTCCTAGTTTTCTGGCATGAGTGATAGGGTGGAAGGTGATGCCATCTCATGGGTCACAGAGTTCCAAAGCAGGTTGAGGCTTGGGTAGGAAGGGAGGTCATGAGTACGTGAGGGATTTTAAGCAAGCATGCAGGCATGTTTGTTCATTGCTTGTACTATGTTAAAATTGAATTTGTGAAGTTCACCAATTTATGTCAGCATTTCCTAAAATGAGTTCTCTAGCATCCTGCCTGTCAAAGAGTATCTTACAGACTAGCAGCTTTGCTTTACCTGGGAGCTGATATGAAATACTTGCCTCCAACTGCCTTACTTCTGTAGGATCCTCTGTGATTCGTAGCACATGAAAGTTGGCAACACAGCTCTGGAACCCAGGTCTTCAGAGATGATATGTGACAAAACGATTCTCAAAGCAAATAATTCTGACAGATGGTGAGATCATGTGTCCTGTGTATAGTAACAAGTCCGAATATCATTTAAAAGATTCTATAGTGACCTTTATTACAGAGACCTATGTTTTCTAGGACTTTTTGTACCTAATTTAACACTCATCTTTTCCCCCATCCACACACATCACCTCCATTAATAGTGGAGGATTAAACATTCTGTGGAACATGCTTTTAGAAACATTGATTTATGTAACATGCAGAATAAGAGTTCTGAAGGCAAGTCTGCCTGGATGCAATTAATTTATTTGTTGATTCTATCAACATGAATTGATAGTATATGAGAAGCACTATTCTTGATACTGGGGCTATGTAAATGAAAAAAAAATGGCAATATTTTCTGCTCTTTTAAGGCTTATATCCTGGGTGAAGAGTATGTTTCTTGTTACAAGGAATGAATTGTGTGACATATTGCTTGGTAAAAAGTGCTTTAGAAAAGATAAAGCAGGGAGAGACTAGGGAGTGGTGTAGAGTGCAACTTAGTAGCAAGGCAATGGAGCAAAGAGCTGAGGGAAGGGAGGAAGAAATCCCTGTGACCCTTAGGGTGAGGGAACACTAACCACAAAGATCTTGAAGTAGATATGTGTCTCGTGTTTAGAAACAACCAGAAGGTGAGTGGGCCTCAAGAGAGAAGATTGAGAGGGGAGCCATGGGGTTGGACTTTAGTTCTGGCCCTTGGCAATTCTGAAAGATTCATGTAAACTCTATAAGCCTCTGTCCTGATGTGGATTATAATTGCACCTATTTTCTAGGGCTGTGTGAGGCTGAAACAAGATCATAGTGTTTAGTGCCGTGCCTAGTTTGTAGGAAATGCTGAAACACGTTGGACGTGATCATTCATCACTTATAGGTTAAGAATGCAAATTTGGAACCCTCTCACCAGGGTTTGAATCCTAGCTCTGCTTACTCATCACTTACTGGCTATGTGAATTTAGGCAAGGTTGTTAACTCTCTAAACTCAGTTTGCTTATCTGTAAAATGAGAATAATAATAGAGCCTCTCCCATGGAATTGACATAATAATTAATGTGTTGATATGTGGAAAGGGCTTAGAACAGTCCCTGGTACATAGTAAGCACTCCTTAACGTTAGCAATTATTATGATCGTTAATAATAAGGTTCTAATATGTGTCAGATCTTTAAACAAAATAGATCAAAGTCTTTCTGACATGAGCTCTTTGGAGAAATGGATTTCTGGGCACAGGAAGAGCAGAGGGCCTCAAATGAGTCAGAAGGATTTTCCTCCCTCATCTAGAAGAGATAAGCCAAGACTGGAAAGAGGAGGATGAAGAATAAGAAAAAAAAAAAAAAAAAACAGGAAAAGGAGAAGAAGAGAACTGTGAATTCCAATAAAGAGAGCACCTAACAGCTGTGGAGCAGAGCAGCTGTCTGATAAATGTAGGCAGAGGTGACCAGAAGTAGCCTTGGGTAAATGTGACTATATTCTACAGGAGGCAGTAATGCAGTAGAGACTCGCTGACTGAGTGGTCAGCAATGACAGGTGGCTTAGTAAGTGACCTGTGTTAGGTCTATGCATCCGTTATCTGTTGCTTTGTAACAAACTACCTCAAAACATGGTGGCTTAAAACACATTTGTCACCTCCCAGTTTGCGTGGACCAGAGAGCTGGGCAGGGCTGGCCTGGGTTGTCTCATTCTTGGTCTTTCTCAGCTGCAATCAAGCATTAGATGAAGCTGCAGTCAGCTCAAGGCTCAACTGGAGAAAGCCGCTTCCAAGCTCACACACTTGGTTCTTGGCTGGATTCCTGGCTGTTAGACGGAGCATCAGTCCCTTACTGGCTTTTGAGACAACCCTTGATTCCTTGCCACGTGGACTTCTCCACCATAGCAGCTTGCTTCACCAAAGTGTGCAAGCCAAGAAAGTAATAGAGTCCAACAAGACAGAAGCCTTATCATGGCAGTGGAACCCAGCACCTTTGCCTTACTCTATTTACAAGGAGCATGTCAGCAGCTTCAGCCCACACTCAAGGGGTAAGGATTAGACATGAAGTTCCAGAGACAGGGAACTTTGAAATTACATGGGCCCTCCTCCTGACAGCTTCTGCTTCCTAGAACATGTTCTACAGAAGATCCTGCCATGTGGCAGAACTTCAGAGGGAAAGGGAACCCCAAGAAAGGATGAGATTAACTTCTCTGCCAGCCTGACAAGCTGGTGTCTCAGAAGCGAACTCGATTTACAGAAAACAAATAAGGAATACACCTTAGACATCTGTGCTGAGGACTGAATTATTTCTCATTTCTTTTATCTCATTTAATTCTTCAAGCCATGATGTGACATATATATTATTATGTTTATAATCGAGAAAACTGAAACTCAGAGAGGTAAGTCACAAATCTGAGGTCACACAACTAGGATGGTAGACAGGTTGAATCTCTCTGTGACCCCAAAACCCACACTCTTTCCACTATGCAGTGGTACCTCGATGTTACTGGAATGTGTTTGAATGTATATTTCTTTTATCACTTATAATAGTACAGATATGTAGGAACCCACATAGAGCATCAAGTATTTGCATTCTACTATAATGTGTATGTAAAATGTCATCTACATAGTTTTTTGTAAAGCCCAAACTTTAGTGGATAAATATATTGCCTCTATAGAAATTTTCGTAAGATCAAGCTCTGGCTATTTAATAGTATTCTAAATTTAATAGCATCAGTGCATCATCCTCAATAAATTTCAGTGATTTGGACAAAGATCACTACTATGCACTACTTATAAATAAATGTGGCCAGATGATGAGCAAGAAGTGTCAGTTCGCTGAAAGTCTTTCTGACATTCTCACAGCCAAGGTGACAAGTTAGCTCAGAAAACCACCCCTCCAGTGACCAGGGTGTAACCAGCTGGACTGACTGACACACGGGCTGCAGATTCCCTGCTGCTGGCCCAGGAAACTATCTGAAATCTTCACCACACTCCTCAGTGTGAATGCTACTGATGTGAGCCCAACAGGAAGTGTGACCTCATTCTGCCTCTTTGCCTCTAGTTACGCAGGCTGTTTTCAAAAGAAAACAAGACGGTTTGTAAGGCTGACTTTCCCAAGAACTACACAATCATTTGTACCAAGAAACAGATGAGAACAAGAGGCTGCTGAAGACAAAACTCTGCAAGTACCTGTGCACGGCAATGCCTGTGGGCATCTGTGAGAAGGTAGGTTGGGATTCCTTTATTAAGAGACTTCTGCACCTGTTGACATTCAGACATTTGCAGCTGGGGAAGTGCTCAGTCCTCTATTTCTCCAGGGTCAACCACAGGAAGCTTCCTATTTCAGTAACAATTTTGTCCTTTGTCAATTGGAAGAAGAGGCTGGGAACTCCCTTTGGAAGAAACACATATGAGCACACAATTTTCAGAACAGATGTGTTGCTTTGATGGAACTGGTAGATTCTGTTTCTTGAAAAGTTTTAGATTTGTACCTGAAGGGTTATTTTTTCCTACTGTTACTAATTTTCAACTGAATGTCAGCGTACTTCCTATAGATTGCTATAAGCACTTGTAAGATAGAACCATAAGATCTTGCTTTCTGCTGCAGGATTTGTAGGCTGAAAATTAAGTTTAATATGTGGGGAACACTAAAATCAGGTTATTTGGGCTGGGCACATCCATACAATATTGATCAAAAATGAAAAGGACAAGTAACATACTGATATATTACATTATATTATTGGGATTTATTTTGTATCCCAAACAAATGAAATTTGTAAATGTGTGCTTTGATTTAGAGATCTTCCAAGGAAGGCCAGAAAGTTATCCTGACATCTTTAAAGGTCTCTATTAGCTTTATATTTTCCTAATAGGGTTTGTATATAATTTATTGAAATATTAAACTTAAAGCTTTAGAATTAGCCTGGTTTGATTGATTGTATTACAGCTACAAAAACAATCCATTAGTAGTACTCATGTTACAAAATGTGGATATAGGTGGTGAATCAGAAAAGAATTTTGTCCTACCTTATAAAGCAACTAGGACAGTGATACTATGTACAAAAGTTTCATAGTCAACAGAAGATAGTTCTATTTGATGAACAGTAAATGATCAAAGTTTGCATAATTTGCATACTTTGATGTTTTTAATTTGTGATTGAGAAATTAAGTTATGTGCTCATGGGAACTGGATTCTAAAATCTTCCCAGTGGTATGCGATCTTTAGTGCAGTGTTACTTATGCTGTTTAGGAATGTCCACGCTGATAAAAACTATTAAAAAACATTCTCTGTGACCACCTGTCAGTGGTTTAAGTTGTTGGGCAAAAGAGACACCAATCTCCAAGCACCGTTTGAAACTTGATAATGAAGTTGATTTGTGTCAGATGATCAAAATACAAATACATTTGTTTTGGGGGGTAAATGACTGTTAGAACCAGTCATTTTATTAAGATTTCTTGATCAAATACCTCACTTTCATTATTTTCTTTGGATTACAAATCAACCTCTTTAAGTCTAGATTTTCCAAATAAAGTGTGGTTCTTATTTACAAGAAAAGGTTATTGAGATGCATGGAGTGAGGCAATAGAAAATGTTCAAAGTCACAGAGGCAGACACAACTTTGAGAAGTTGTGTCTTCAATCTGGTCTCCTACCTTCAATCCTGTATCTCTGTATTATTTCAGTAAACAAATCTGACTAGCACAATTAGTAGATGCCATCTGTTTTGGCATAATTTTTCTATTTTTAATATATAGTCCACCTTTTTTTAACGTCTTTTGCAGAGAATCTGTGAAGTTTGAACAAGCGGCCTTCCCAAGATGTACCGAATATCTCAACTGATGTCAACACCAGTAGCAAGTAAATGTAGAAGAACTGCGATATGCAATTATCTTTTGAACGATTAGACTCCTTTTAGCAATTTCCTTGCTTTGATTTTGCTGATACTCAGACCATTAACCATCTGTCAGTAGCTTGTGCTTCTTAAATGCCAGTGTTCACTTTGGCAATGATTTTCACTTCTTTTTTTTCCTTGAAAGAAATGTGGTATTTTTCCTCCTAGTAGAAAAAAAAAAAATCACCGTTTTTTTTAGATGCCTGTGCATAAATGTGAAAGGAGATTGTTTATCAGCTACTATTAAGATGCAAAACTGTTTGTGTATAAAAAATGCTGAATGATTTTGATAGCTACTTGCAGAAAATAAGGGCTCTGTTAAAACGGTAGTGGTTTCAAGTTTCTTCCTTCCTCTTGTTATTTTCTCCCAAAACCCCACTTCTCACTCTCCCTCACACACCCACAGTTTTCGCCTTACAAATCAACCAACCCAATCTGAAAGTCTAAATTCCATTCTTTGTCCTAGATACTAATTGTCCATAATGGAATCAAATTTCCCTAAGCCTGTCTGTTAGGACTATTGACACTATCTCTGCACACAGTAAAATTCTGCTTTAGAGTTTAGAATATTAATCAACTACAACTTTCACCAAATAAAGTCTGTTGTCATGCCTTTGGTTGAACTGGAATGAATGGATAGATGAGGTTTCTATAATTAAGAATACTCACAGTATTTATACATTAGAAAATCTTATATAAAACAAAACAAAACTTTTTTTCTTCCCCACTAATGGCTTTTGCTCACTGTTTTACCCTATAAGTGTCTTAATATGCACTAATGAGGGAGAATCTAGAATAGTGATTGAATTCCTCAGGTTACTGAGTAAGCTACAATAACAAACACATTGGGTAATTGATTCAGGTTTTCTCCTGCTTCACACAAGACTTTTTTTTCCCCATCCTTTCATGAGCTCAGTTTGATGCTGATGTTTTATTATTGCCTCATCCTGCACTAAGGAACTTCTAAAGGAGTGTTACATGGGAGAAGGAGATACAAGTCCCTAGTTTATGTCTTGCTTCCTGTAGAGCCCTGGTCTTTCTGCTTAGGCTGAGACATCAGCTATTCCCATCTTACATTCCTTCACTGTTTGCAATGGTGTATACTTATATACTAGTGATAGTTGCAACAGTGTATATTGTTGTACAAGTGATACACATGTATCAACATGTATGACTGTTAATCAGGTATGGTACAGTCTACTTCTCTCTCATTTGTTTATACAGGTCCTTCCAGTTTGGAAAGAGAATATGCTGGACAGTTGTCTCCCACATGCATTTTTCCAAGGTATTCTATGGGGCTTCTTTAAAAAAAAAAAAATCATTCTTGGCTGGGCACGGTGGCTCACACCTGTAATCCCAGCACTTTGGGAGGCCAAGGTCAGTAGATCACTAGAGGTCAGGAATTTAAGACCAGCCTGGGTAAAACACAGTGAAACTGTGTTTCTACTAAAAATACAAAAATTAACTGGGTGTAGTGGTACATGCCTGTAATCCCAGCTAGTCAGGAGGCTGAGGCGGGGAAATTGCTTGAATCTGGGGGACAGAGGTTGCAGTGAGCCAAGTCCACACCATTGCGCTCCAGCCTGGGTGACAGAGCGAGATCCCATCTCAAAATAATATTAGCAATTGTTATTATTATTTTCCTGTATGTCTTGCTTTGTTGTGTTACTGGTTTGAAATTATTGTTTTAGCTATCCTCTAGTTTTGATACATTATATCTTTTCAGTGCCATGTGCATACTAAATGAAAACTTGCCTAATAGAATAATGAGTATATACATATATATCATATTATATATTATTTCTCTGCATTGTTTCTCTGGCAAGTGGTGAAACTATTGAATACTAATGAATGGCTACTTTTTCTCAAACTGATATCCTTTTAAATATGCTTTCCTATCTTGTTTTACAAGAGCAACAGAATTCTATACCAATGACTGAATTTTGTGCTCTACTAAAACATGTATAGCCTACCATTTTGTTGAAGTCCTGCAAGGGAGTCATTTTTCTTCCTTTTTTTCTGACTCTCTGACTGTCTCTTATTCCCTATAAAGACATCAGCTGATGTTTCTCCTAACATTTTGTGAAATGTGCCTGTAATATAAAGAGATCATATATTCCTGTTAGGACCCACTCCTCGCAAACTGTAGGCCTCCTGATACTACTAAATAAATCAATATGAACAGAGGCACGTGTGGAAAGGATCCATGTTTTAGAGTCAGATAGACTAGGTTTCATATCATAGCTCTGCCACTTACTAGCTATATAAAATACCCAAGTAATTTGCTGTTTTTGTAAATCTTTTTTTTTCCTGCTAGATGATCAGGAAATTCTAAATCACAAATTTTTAGAGATTTGTGAAGAGTAGATAAAGGGCAAAGTAGGGGGCCAGGCTCATGGTAAGTGTTCAATAAATCACATTCATTTGAAATACTATTTTATTACTAGGCTGAGTACATTGTATATAAGCTTTTAAATGTAAAAATATCAAAAGTTCAGTAGTGCATGAAGCAGATGTACAGTGCATGAAGGATGAGAGACATTTTGTAATCTATCAGTGTGTAATTATCTAAAATTCTTTAATGACCCTAATGATATTTGTCCTTTCACCACCCAGTCTTTGTCCTATCCTAGGAGGCATGATTTAGGCTCTTCTAAGGCCTAGTTAGTAACCTTACATGAAAGGAAAGGACTTTGTCTTCAGGCAGTCAGACACCTTGCTGGGCTTTGCTGTGGGACTGGACTTTAGAAACCAATTGGAAAGGACCTGCTGAAAAGAATCAGCTACTAAGTTTATTACAGCAGAATGAGGCAAGAGTCAAGATCTAGAGATAATTTTGTTATCTGCTCTAAATGTTTGATATTGTTCAGAAAGTTTTTTTTTTTTTTTTTTTTTTTTAAACTATAATCTGGGTGTTGGAAGAGTGTCTTTGTTTACAATCAAGAGAGGATAAAGGTAGGGGCATTAAAAAGGAAAGATGCCAGGGATTAGGGAGGCTATAGTTGGTAACTGTTGAATGTGGAAACCTTGGAAATTGGAGTGAAGCTAGGAATACAGGTCCAGAACTCTGAAACCTCCTAAGTGTCCAGCACCATACAGTTGCCCCATTAATTCTCAAGTAGGCAAAATAATATAGAAGAAAGAGCACTAGAGTAGGAAAAAAAAATCTAGACTTTTCCCTGGCCTCTCCCACTTATCAGCCCTGAGTTATTGAGCAATGAACTTATCCTACTGGAGCCTCCATTTTCTTATTTATTAATAGGGGTAACAAGAACCAAAACGTCTGTTAGAGTGTGTCAGTGCATGTCTGGAAATAGTCTCTTGTGATGTTTTCAAAGTCTCAGATTTCTACCCGTACTATTCAATATTTTTATCAATGATTTGTATTGATGACATGTAGATTCCAACATATTTGTATCATGTAAATATATTAAAAGTATTGTGTAATATAATCAGAATTCTTCAAAATTCTAATAGCACAATATGAATAGCTCTTTCAAATAGTAGCCAACAGATTTAGCTCGCCACACTTAGGCAATGGAAAGCATAGTCATTAATAACCTCCGTTAAACTATGACATTTAGTATTTATGCAATCTATGAGGTTTATTTTGGGTAATCTTTATTGCACAGATTCACATTTGTTTAAAAAAAAAAAAATCCTAAGCCTCGAACAGAATAATTAGCAAGAGGTAGAGCCAGGATTGAAACCCAGGGTGTAAACTTAGCTCTATCTATCTGCAAAGTTTTAATTACATATTGACTCTTTAATGTAAAACTAGTCCAAAAGTCTAAGAGAGGAAAGGTACATCTAAATATACAGGGGAAAGACTAGAAATTGATAGATTATTTAGATGAGATCAGGTGCATTCAGGGTGCTATGGCCGTAGACTTGACAGTCTACTTAATAGTGTGATAATATATTGGTAACTGGAGGGAAGAAATGAATCAAGCTAATGTGACTTAAGCTTCATCGCTAAAGACTTGGATTCTATAATGGGGGAGGTGATAATCTCTACATTCCTTGGGCAGACACACCTAAAGGGTTGGGTTCTATGGTTGCCATGTTATTTAAGAGCAGGATCTTTAAAAAGCGGAGACTAAGAGAAAAGCCATCAAACTGATAGCTAACGGATCAAAACTGCATTATGTCGTATAAAGATGAGCTAAATGAACTGGAGCACTTTTAGTATGGAGAAGCGAGGACCCAGGGAGGACATGGAAATTCTTCAGGTAGCTGAATAGATCTCAAATGGAAGATAGAAGGAAGAGCACAGCAAGGGAAAGAAAGGAATGGAGGAAGTGAACATTTATGAGACCCCTACTAGGTGCTAAGCACAGACCATTTATTTTCTTATTTAATTATTAAGATAACCCCATAGTCGAGATTCGTTTTCTTGTTTTACAGATAAGGAAACAGTCTAAGAGGCTAAGTGACTGGATTATGGTTACTTACCTAAACAATGAAAGAGTTGGAATTATGGACTTGGGCGGAGGGATGACTTCAAATTCCCTATCCTTTCCAGTATGCTACAGTCATATTTGTTCAGTTAAGGGGCGTGGAGGTGCTTAGTAAGTGTGGGGTCCTTCTTACTGAAGGTTTACATGCAGAGACAGGACAATGTTTGCCAAAACATAGCAGATGGGACAAGCAGAATTTGGTAGGGCTGCAGACATGACCGCCAAAACTCCTTCTGATTCTTAGAATCTGTGATCTCTGGAAACATATGATCCCAATTTATGCAATTAAGTGGAACACATAATATACAGAAATTATTGAGAACATCAAGGTAAAGAGCACATGAGAGCTATTATAATATCATCACTGTTAACTGATTGACACAAAACCACCCCAGGAATTCAAATATATTCAGACACTATATATTTTCACAGATTTTACCAGATTTCCATAGCCTGTCAGCTGATTTCATTCAGTAACTGGTATTGAATTTATTTACATACTGAACATTTTTTAGGTTCACAATATCTGCCCTCCAGAAATGTATAAAATAATTACTGAGGCAGACATACATACACAAAAATGGCAATGAGATTAGTTGGAATTTAGGAGAAAAAATTAATTTTTATGGGAGAAGAGAGGAGAAAAATGCAAGCCCTCTTTGAAGAAATAGCACATAACATATTATTTTCTCCAATATGGCTGGCTCTATTACTATTGTCACCAGGCTTCCACCAAATCTCACCTCAAGAAATTTTAGAAGGCCGGGCGCGGTGGCTCACGCCTGTAATCCCAGCACTTTGGGAGGCCGAGGCGGGTGGATCACGAGGTCAAGAGATCGAGACCATCCTGGTCAACATGGTGAAACCCCGTCTCTACTAAAACTACAAAAAATTAGCTGGGCATGGTGGCGCGTGCCTGTAGTCCCAGCTACTCAGGAGGCTGAGGCAGGAGAATTGCCTGAACCCAGGAGGCGGAGGTTGCGGTGAGCCAAGATCACGCCATTGCACTCCAGCCTGGGTAACATGAGTGAAACTCCGAAAAAAAAAAAAAAAAAGAAATTTTAGATTTATGAAATATTTTTATAATAAAATATTGATTGCCTGTCAATTATAGGGGCCTGTAATTTACTCCTTCCTTCTGTCCTTCCTTTCTTCCTTCCTTCCTTTCCTTCTCCTCTTCCTCATCCTCCTCCTCCTCCTCCTCTTCCTTCTTCTTCTTCTTCCTCTTCGGTCTCTCTCTCTCTCCCCCGCCTCTCTCTCTTCCTTCAGATACAGGGTCTTTGCTGTGTTGCCCAGACTGGAGTGCAGTGGCTATTCACAGGCATGACTAGCACGCTGCAGCCTCAAACTTCCTGGACTAAAGGGTCCTCCTGCCTTAGCCTTCTGAGTAGCTGGGACTATAGACACATGCCACCATGCCCAACTCAATGTGATTGTTTTTTAAAACCTAAGACACATATAGATTTACTCAAGTAATTATGAGACTTCCCTGGCTACAAAATCAGGGAACGTAACCGTGTGCCCATGTGTGCAGCCAGCCTGGGGAAAAATTTGCAAAGGCCAAAAAAGATCTCTTTGACTGCATGTTCATCCTGTACCTCATATGTTTCTGGTGGCCACATAATTTTAATGTCTCTATTACAGTGATGAGAATAAAGATATGGCAATTGGAGGGCTATTCAAAGTAAGGGGGTAGAGGGGGTTGTGAGCTGCCAGCATTCCATCCAAAAAATATATATAGTAGACTAACATCAAATGTAGGTCCATCATATGATGAGGAAAGTGATTAGCCATCGTGTTTTCACCAAGGTTTAAAACAGAAAGAAGCACTAAATGTTCTGTAGTTCAATGCTGTCGTAGGTGAGGGGATGAAGCCCAGGAGGTTAAGAGTGGCATTCCAAATGGTTGCAGAGGTAATTGACAGTCGTGTTTGGAAAGAGGTTATTTTCCTTCACAGTGATGAGATGTGGTTTATACGGGACTGGTGTAATGGATAGAGATTTAAAAGGCTTTCCCTTTTCCTTCTTAGTTTCACCTGTGATGTCCTGGATGGTGACCATTCTTTTGAATACTGCTCCATAAGTCCCCTGACAGGCTCCCACTATACCTGTCGCCGAAGTCCCAGACTCCTCACCAATGGCTACTACATTTGGACCGAAGACAGCTTCCTGTGCAACAAAGATGGCAACATAACTCTGAACCCATCCCAGACCCGTGTTATCTACAAAGAGAACTTAGTTAGGTAAGCAAAGCATATTACAGAAGGAAATTTGAAATCCAATCCATCCATTAATCGTTCATTCATTCATTTACTCACTCAACTATCTTTTATAAAGAGCTCATTATTGCTCCAAACTGTGGAAATACAAACGGTTAGAGGGGACAGGCATAGCCAACATGAAAACAGATGAAACCAATGAAGTAATATGGGTGCCAGGATAGAAATCTGTCAGGGGGCAGTGAAGGAGAAAAAGAAAGAGAATCTATGTTACCTGGGGAATAGGTAAAAACAAATTCACTAGAGGTGATGATGGCTGATTTAAGTCTTGAAAAATGTAGGATGTTAGTTAAAATAAAAGTAGGAAAGAGGACTTCTAGAAAGGTGGCACAGACATGGGTTTCTGAGAGACCCTGGTAAAACTTGGAGAATAGCAAACAGTTTGGTAGGGATAAACAGGGTGAGAAGGGGTGTTTTGTAAGAAAGAAGACTGAGCACAGGAGCAGGGGCTGGATGAAAGTGTTTAAATTTCAGGCTAAAGAGTTTGAGCTGTGCTCTATAAATAAAGAGGGGCCATTGATAAATTATCAGATTTATTCTTAGAAAAATAATAGTGACACAATGGAAAAGATGGGTGGTTGGATGTGTGTGAATACATGAGTAGAAAGTGAGTACAATGGGAAAAATGAAGGCAGGGTGTATATGGATTGAAAGCAAATTGAAAGCTATGATGAAAGAGTAAGGGTGGGGAAATAGATAAAAAGAATGGTAAAGAGGTGGAATCCTGGGCATCCAAAGATGTGGGAGGTCCAGCAAAGGAAGAACACTTGCATGAAATCTTAGGACTCTGGCTCTGTCAACTGGATGTATGGTAGGACCATTTACCAAGATCAAAAAGAAAGAAGGAGCATGTCTGAGGAAAGAAGATGGATGAGTTCACTTTGGATCAGCAAATTTGGATGATCACATTCATTTTCTTTTGCTTCAAAACCACCCATATGCTGACTGTATCCATCAGCTATTGACACAATAGCTGTGTAACAAATAACTATCAAATCTTAATAATATAAAACAATGAGCACACACATGTTTGAAGTAGGTTGGTTTAATCTGAACCAGGTGGAGCTTGGCTTCAGTTGGAATCAAGTATGAATTCCAACTTTGAGACCAGTGGACTACAGAAGAATGTTCTTTCTGTTGTAATTACATAAATGCAAGAGGACTTACATAAATGCAAGAGGACAACAGGTACATTTCAAGCCTCTGTGTACATGAATCTGCTACCATCTCAATGGTCAATTCAACTTACATGGGCAAGTTGGAATAAAGGTCAGAGAAATACACTCTACCCTTGTTGACATGGGAGGAAGGGATTTCCTATAGGCATCTCAAACTGAGTATGTCTAAAATAGAAAAGGTCCTCTTTCTTTCAAAATGTTTCTCACATGATTTCTATTTCAAAGAAAAGAAGCACCATTCATCCTTCATTGAGAGTCTCTCCAGACTCGACTTTTTATTCACACATCTTTTTTGGTCAGTTGGTCAGGATAAGATGGTACAGGTAGTAACCTTTAGATGTAAATATGTAATGATTCAAACAAAACCAATTTTATTTCTTGCTCATATAATTGTCTAGAATGACTGTTCTAGCTTAACTGGTGACTCATCTCGAAGCAGAGACTCAGAGATCCAGATTTCTTCTGTCAAATGCATCTGCTAACCATGCAAACCTTGTAGAGTCTGCGGCATGGTGGAATTGCCTGGAGCCAACTGGTAAAAGTAGAAAGAAAGTGAGGTGGAGGAACACCTACTTTGCTCAAGGCTCCAGCCAATAAATGGCAGAGATCACTTTTACTCATAATCCACTGGAGAGACCTTAGACTCGTGACCACACGTAATGGCAAGGGAGCAGAAAGATGTAGTTCAGTTGTGTGTCCAGGTACACTGTGTTTGGTAAGAAGTTTATTGTTTCTACTGTAAAGTTTAAGACCAAATGAGTCTAATTCCTAAAATTATTTTGAATTGTTCCTCTTTCTTTGATCCCCTAGCTATTTTATTCATTCAGGCCACCATCACCTCTTGCTTAAATTTCTGCAATGGTTACCTGAGTATTCTGATGCCTCCTGGATTACTCACCTTCCAGTACATTCTCCAGGCCAGGCTACTGCAAGGTGGTTTTCTTACATTGGTTAGGCACCCTCCTTCAGGGAGGTTTTACTCTGTTTACTTTCTTCTCATTTCACCTTTTGTAACTGCCAATATTTGTTTTAAAAAACCAAATAAAATAAATGTACTGATTGCTTTCTGTGTACTAGGGACTATTTCAACTGTTTTGCATGTATACTACCATTTGATTTCAACTCCTGCTCTGGAATCTTATGACACAGATTTTATTACTGCCATTCCTATTTCACAAAAGTGAGACACAAGTTCAGAGAGGTTAAGTAATTTTCCCAAGCTCACAGGGCTATTAGGTGGAAATAGGATTTCAGCTCAGATTGTTCAACTTTAGAGAATCAATTTTCAACCACCACTTTTAACTCTAGCCCACCTTATGTAGATAGATATTCTTGATGTTAAAGATGTTTGAAACATACTTTTTGTTCTCAAATTTGATGAGTGCCCATCCCATAATAGGTACTTAATAAAGTTTTGTTTAGCAAATTAATGAATATAAGAATAAATGAATAAGCATTTCTAATTCCAGTTTATTTAGTTTAAAATGACCTCATCTTAGAACATACAGGAACCTTTCAAATTTGGTTTGTTTTCACAGGAATGTGTTCCATTGTCATGAACTTTACCATTTTTCTCAGCTCCCCATTCCTGAAACCTATGACAGAGAGAGTTCAAATAAAGCAGGTTTTCTCAACAGTAGCACTACTCACATTTTGTACCAGATAATTTTTTGCTGTGGGCAACTGCCCTGTGCATCGTACGATGTTTAATGGTATCTCTAGCCTCTTCTCACCATCTGCCAGGAGGACTCCTCCCCTAGTGTAACGTTAACAAAATGTCTCCAGAACCTACCAGATGTTCCCTGCAGTCAAAATCGACCTGGTTGAGAACCATCAGGATAAAGAATGCACAAGCCTTGTAATTCACCCTAACCACCAAGGGAAAACACAGCTCAAAATGCATCTTCTGATAGCAGCCATGGATATCCCAAGAGGAGAGCAGAATTTTGTAATAGGAAAACTGTTCCATGCCCATCTTGCATGTGATGGGAAAGCTGTCCCACTTGACCTTGCATTACCTAGCTTTAATTCAGGCTCTTAGTATTTTTCACCAGTATAGCATGCTCAGCACAGGGCTTGACACATCACAGGCAGATACACGACAGTGACTCCCCTGTGCACTTTGATTAGCCTTTCTGCCCTCAATTTTGCCCCACTGAGGCACCCTCTGTTACCAACAATTTTGGAAATGCAAATCAAATTATGACATCACCACTCTCTTCCCCATAGCCATGATTTAGAGGTCTCCCTTTTTTCCAACACTACATTCCAACCCCCCTGCATCCTATATGAAGTTCATCATTATCTGTCTTCATGTTACCTGTCCAGCTTCACTTCTTGGCATGACCTAATCACACCTACTGGCTCCTCAATGAACAGGTCAGATCATCTCATGAAGGTTAGCACTCATTTCTCCCAAAAAACTTCCCTCGATTATCAATTAGTAATGCCACACCTGGTGCCCTCAGAGCAGCCTCTAGGTAATCCTTTCAGAGCACGTATCCCCTATATAGCATAGTGATCAAAAGCAGAGACCATGGAGGCAGATTCTCTGGGTTTGCGTCACAACTATGTCACTTACTAGCTGCATGACCTCAGCCAAGTGACTTAACCTATCTGTGCCTAAGTTTCCTGATGAGAAAAATGGGATGATAATAGTACCTGCTTCATAGAGTTGTTCTGAAGATAGTGTGAGTTGATCTATGTAAAGCACTAAGGAAGATGCCTGGCACAGAATAAACCCTAGAAAAGCATTACCTATATGTGCGTTATTTTTTTTTCTTTCTCCCATAAAACATTGCAAACTTATCACACACAAAGTTTTGTCTTTTATTTCTGTATTCTTGACGTTGAGCCAAGGACCAGGCACACAGCAGAATTTTGAGAAACTTCTGTAGAATTAATGCAGTGAGTAGACTTGGGTTGTGGAGATGCATTCTGTGTACCGAATCACAGTTTTGAACTACAGGTAACCATTATTGATTGTTTGCCATGCTTTCATTTCTCTCTAGGATATTTAGAAAGAAAAAGAGAAGCCGCCATCCCTTTTCTTCTCTCTTCAACCTCAGCACTTCTAAATCTTGGCTGCATGGAAGTATCTTGGGTGACATCGACTCTTCTCCAAGTGAGGACAACTGGTTGGAGGGGATCAGGAGGTTGGACACAGACCACCACAATGGAGATGGTGAGTTTGAACCTTCCTTTCCATAGCAAAATTTCATTTCCAAGTGGGCAGTGGTAACTCTGTGGTCCTCAACCAATGTCAAGTCCAGAGATGACAGTCATTCTGATGGAGAGATGCCACATTTTAAAAATTCACTTAAAGTTCTCTCTATACTACATGTGTGATCAAAACACATATGTGTCTATGTCATGGAAAATAGCCTAATGTAAATGTGTAAATTATTAAGTTGATAATGCTTTAGGAAATATGGCCATTTTTGTGATATTGATTCTTCCAATTCATGAGTATAAAATGTTTTTCCATTTATTTGTGTCACCTATAATTTCTTTAAGCAGTTCTTTGTAGTTCTTCTTGTAGAGATTTTTATGTCCTTGGTTAGATGTATTCCCAGGTATATTATCTTTTTGTAGCTATTGTACATGGAATTGCATTCTTTATTTGGGTCTCAGCTTGAATGTTTAGTGTACACAATGTTATTAGTGTACAGAATTGACTACTGACTTTTGTATATTGATTCTCAAAGCGTATTTTAAAGATGAAATGGGACAATGACGGTCAGTCATAGTTCAATATCTGGTGCTTAATAAGTTGTGGTTAAAATTATTTTTATTACTAGAATGGAAACAACAGATATTTATTGGGCAGTTACTATTTTCCAGGCAATGTGGTAGGTCAGGGATAAAAAGGTGAATATAAAAAATGTAGCCCCTGTCTTCTTGGGTCTTATGGTCTACTGGAGCAGGTACTGGTGTTTAGATCTTTGTTAAATAATTGCACAAACATGGCATAATAATTGTGATGGGGGCCATGAAAAAACGTTATGTGATATAATGGGGAATTTGACTCATTTGGAAACTTAAGAAAGGCTTCCCTGTGGAACTGACAATGGAGATGAGTGCTAGACAATGAGAGGGGCTTTTGCTGGGTGAAGGGGAAAGGTAAAAACATTTTGTGCTAAGGAGATAAAAAAGTCTGGAGTGTGAGTTGCCTAGTGAGTAGACTTGCTCAGTGAGGGAAGATAGCATGCATGGTTTGGAACACAATGAGTTTAAGTTTCTTTAAGACATCCAAGAGACAACATCAAGATGGCGTTGATGTTTGTAAACTGGAGCTCAGAGGAGGAAGCTGAGTTAAAGGTATACATCTGGGAATCATATCAATCTAGGAAGTCATTGAAGCCTTATAGTGGATGAGATGGATTAGGAAGGAGATATACAGTTTTCAAAAGACAGAGCCTAGAATGGAGTTATGAACTCAAACACTGAATAAATAAATAGGACAGGATTAACCTGCAAAAGAGATTAGGAAGGAAGCATTCATAGAGGTGAGTGGAAAACCAAGAGAGTGTTGTGTAATGTGTGATGAAATTCCTGGGATAATAGTGGTACAAAAGGTGGGAGCACTCAGCGATGACAAATCATACTAGCAAGGTAAATAGAATGAGGACTGAGTGTTCACCAGATTCATTGGCCTGGGGGTGACTGGTAGTGGAGTGAAGGTGGCAGAAGAGAACCAGGAGTACAGTGAAGAGAGAGTGAGAGGTGAGGAAATGAAGGAATGGCCTATAGAAGACTTTGATGTCTGCTGGGAAGAGAAGGGGAGAGGTGAAGGACGATGAAGTCAAATTAGAAGATTGAATGAACCCCTGCCTCTTCTTCCTTTTTCTCCTCATCCTATCAACACAGCCAAACCATATCATGACTATATATCATGATAAGGTTTGGCTTTGTCCCCACCCAAATCTCATTTTGAATTCTCACATGTTGTGGAAGGGTCCTGGTAAGACGTAACTGAATCATGGGGATTCAATAAACGTACTGTTTTAGTGATAGTGAATAAGTCCACCAGATCTGATGATTCTATAAGGGGGAGTTTCCCTGCACGAGCTCTCTCTTTCCCTGCTGCCATCCATGTAAGACATGACTTCCTCCTCCTTGCCTTGCACCATGACTGTAAGGCTTTCCCAGCCATATGGAGCTGCAAGTCCATTAAACCTCTTTCTTTTGTAAATTGCCAAGTCTTGGGTATGTCTTTATCAGTAGTGTGAAAATGACCTAATACATGTCACTTCATCAACACATGGGCCTGAAATAAAAGTGGGTTTGCAGGTCCACTTTGATATGTTATATACTGATTTAACAGTCATTCTTTCATTTATTCATTCACTCATCAAACCCACTGAGTATGTGCTATGTGCCAGCCACTGCACTAAACACAACACTCTTCCAAACCATAACCCTAACCTTGAAAACTTCCTGGTTTAAAACAGGTAGATAAATATATTTGCAAATAATTTGAGTATAATGACTGAAACAGCATAAGAGATTTAAGAGTAATATGTGGAGACACTGTCAGACGTTTAGCCAGGGGAGGCAGTGTTAGCTTTACCTAGAGGTGACTGGGAGGGCATCAGAGGGAGGCAATTTCTGAGTGGGTCTTAAAGGATAAGTAGGATGGCTAGGCAGAGATGAGCTGGGGTGATATTCCCAGCTTCCCCATTCCATCTTCCAAACTGCTGTGAGGCTGACCTTTCTATAACACAAATGTGGCCTTGTCATTCCTTAACACAGCATATAAGACCTTTTGAATATCTCCTACTTCTCCAACCCAAACTGACTGCATAATATTCAGGCCCACTGCGGAAAAAAATACAAGGCTCCCTGTTAAGAAATTCTTAAGAATTTCAAGTGTCAACCAAGAAACACCGTTCAACCAAGAAAAAGACCCTCATGACAAGAAGCCCTGTGCAATGGCACTTGTCAAAGGTCCATGTGGCTGGCCTTGTCTTCAACTCCATCTTTTTCCTTTCCCTTACATGTGATTGACACACATCGCACTGATCTTTCAATTTCCTGAATGGATCCTGCTCTTCCACACACCTGTGGCTTTAATTATGTCACTCACTCTGTTAGAATTCACTTTTTCACTCATTTGGAAGATTTTATTGAGGGCCAACAATGCGCCAGGCATTATTCTACACAATGAACATAGCAGTGAATAAAATGGACAAAATGCAAGTTCTTGTGGAACTTGCATTTCTATAGGGGGAGATAGACAATACATAAATTATGTAGCATGTTAATAAATGGTGAGTGATATGAGGCACAAGAAACGGGGAAGTGATGGGGATTGCAAATGTAAATAATGTGGTTAGAGAAAACCTCATTGAGAAGGACTTTTGAGCATTGGCTTAAAAGCAAAATCAAAACAGTTCTGTAGATACCTGGGGGAGGAACAATCCAGCTACACGAAATGCTGATGTACAAGTTCTAGTCTCAGAGCCTGCACTGGGCTGAGTGAGTGAGTGGGGAAAGCAGAGAAAAGACTGAAAGGTGTATGTGTCAGGAATGAAAGTGGGAAAGGACAAGGAGAGCTGTGGGGTCATTTCAAAGGCTTTGCTTTCTACTCTGAGTGGAGGACAAACCATTGGGGGATTCTGAGCTAAGGAATAACCTGTTTTGATTTACATGTTGGCAGGATAACTCCAGCTTCTGGGTTCAGATGAGATGTCAGTTATTAGGAACAGCAGCAAGAAACCAGTTAAGAGGCTGTTGGAGTGATTCAGGTGGGAGATAATGGCGGCTTGAACTAAGATGATAGCAGAATGGTGATGAGAAGTAGGATTCCAGGTTCATTTTGCAGGTAGAGGCAACAGGATTTGCCTACGTGGTTGTGAGAGAAAAAGAGAAGTAAGGGTACTTATTACATGCTGAGCACTTTACATTGTGTCTTTTAAAAAGATATTAGCTTGTTTACATACATTATCTTGTTTAAATATTTCCAAAATTCATAGGAAGTAGATTATATTATCATATTTATTATAATTATGATAAAACTTAAGTTCAGGGTTAAAGAACTTGCCAAGCTAATTTAGCTTATAAATATCAGAGTTGGAATTCAACCAGGTCAACTAAATCAGGTCTATCTGATTTAAAGGTCCAGATTCTTCTCTGGTGCCAGGAAGGGTTTTGTTCTCCTTTTCAAAGAGAAATCCATCATATCCTTCATAGTGCAGGACCAAAGAGCAACCTAGAGGAGTCATATGATGTAATAATGTATTAATTAAAGTGTGTAGTAATTACATGGATACAATTTTTCTTAATCTGCTTCTTAGAAAACACACATAACTTAATTTTTTTATTTTTAATTTCAGTAACTTTGATTCACAAAATGTTATGAAAAATAGTACTGAGAGGGCCAGTGTATGCTTCATCCAGCTTCACCCACTGATAACAACTTACACAACTGTAGCAACATTAACAAAACCAGGAAATGGACATTGGTGCAATATCATGAAGATTCCACCAATTTTCACATATATTCCTGTGTGTGTGTGTTCGTGTGTGTGTGTGTGTGCGTGCGTGCGTGTGTGCATGTCATACTAGATTCGTTTTCAAAATATAAGCAGGAAGAGAAGAAGTGAAAGAGCAGGGATGTGGGAGGTGAGGCCAGAATGATGAACCATAGACAGTTGAAGAACCTTTTGTGCCATATTGAAGATTTGGGGTTTTATCTAATCAGTCAAGAATACTTTTGATCGCTCTTAAACAGGGTGATGATGCAATCAGATTTGGAATTTTCAAGTTACCTTTGCAGCACAAAGTGAGGATTGGATGAGAGCTCAAAGGCAATGAAAACCAGCAAGTGTTCTAAGGAAGTGGCAGGAAATAGGAAGGAAGAGACTTAAAGAATATTTTTCAAGGTAGAATTAACAGGTTGGTGATAGATAGAATATAGTGGTGAGAAAGTGAGAGAATCAAAGAAAACTGTTGTATTTAATTTGGGAGACTGCATAAAAAATTTCTGCCAGTCACCAAGGACTGGAAGATAGTGTGGTAGAGTGGCAAGGAGAATGAGCTTTTGAACTGGATGAATCTGAATTCAAATTCTAAACCACCTTTTCCCACCTGAGTGTTCTTGGGCAAGTTATTAAGTAACCTCTCTGATCCTCTACTTCTTATACATAAAAGAAGAAAAATAATAGCATATGTAATGGTGAG